AAAAAAAAAAAAGAGCGAGACAAAGAAGGAACTTTAACTCTTTTCCCACATGTACCTGAACCATTGTTCTTTCAGTCGGTGTGTCCCTTTCAGACACAGCAACCCCTGTAGCCAAATGCTAACATACGTTCAATATTTAAAATACAGACGTATCTGCTGTGATGTCATTCACTGGTTTGTGAAACCCCTTTTCGAAGGTTCAACTTTAGCTTCAAGGCTGTCACCATTTCATTTTTGAGTACCTAGCAGTAATGAAAATGAAATAAGAAGATGGAGTGCTAAGTTAGCCAAATATATCTATAAAACTGCTAATCAGCACTAAGTAACAGACTAATAAAAAGCTAGAATTTCACCCACCAACACTAGAGCCAGCTTCCTGGATGGTCTGTTAGCAGAATTTAACAATATATGAAAAAGCATCAACGGCCCAAACAGGTTAAGAGGCCCAGTTTTGATGCAGATTAACTAAAGTGAAGCCTAGCATAGAACTAGCAGCTACAGCTACATGTAGCTATTAATTTCTGCTGATGTGACCTCTAAACACTTTCATGCTTAGATCGTATTTTGCATTTCTGAATTGAGTTTTATTCAGGCTGTGCTCATTTGCTAAGAGATTGAGATTTGTTAGCTAATAAGCAAGCAGTTTCACAGCGAGTCTCATCCCCTTTCGCCACAAGATGGAGACGGTAAAAATACTCATCTTGAGGCTTCAACGCGGGACTTTAGAAACCAGTACCTGGCATTACAGTAGCTACATCCATCTTTTATACTATCTATCACCGGCTTCCACCTGTCAGTCAAAAATTAGCAAAAGCGTCCAAAAGTGTTTTTGTCCCAAGGTATAAACACGTTAATTTCTTCTGTACAGTTGGGCATTGTAAAATAGAAGTCAATAGGTACTCACTTCCTTTAGTAGATTTCAACATGAAGGACGTTTTACAGATGTCAATAATTTACCATGTAAAGTAGAACTTGCTAAATAGGAAATGCTGCTGCTTGATGAAATGTCAAATCTATAGGATTCATCCGAAAGGGAACTATGAATTTTTGCGCTAGACAGTTTGCACGTTTGACAGTCAATACTCACTTTAGAATATAGTGAATCAGGCCCCGGTCACTCAGGTCTAGAGACCAGTCAGTGACCATCTGGCAACCTACAGTTGCAAAGCAAAAAATAGTATATGCAGACTGATTGCTTGAACTTTACAGCAGTCGCTGGGAAATTGATTGCTAAAGTCCCCAGTAACGCAGGCCTACAGACCAACGGTCGCTAGAAAACAATGTGTATTCCCAAGCTGTTTGGCAAAAGCTTGTGACTGCTCTGGCCTCTAGCACATTACGGCAGTCATAGTTTGAATGGAAGTGATGGACTTACAAACACTGGCCAGCTGCTCTCCAACCTGTAGCAGAAGGGTGAAAAAAGTGCAACAAAAACCTTAAATGAAGACCGTCTGCCTTCAAAGTAAAAGTTGGCAGACTTTCTGCATTTTCAGTTTGCATCTCGCTTTTTTGAGTTTTCCTACCGCTCAGGCTAATAGTTAGCCAGTATGTGCAGGCAAAAGTCAAAAAACTCCAGGTGACCGTAACTATCACTGGGAGGTTTTTGGTGCAGCACCTTCTTTGCAACCAATATTGCACAGCAATAGCCAGCAACCTCCAGGAACCACTGCCAATCAGCCAGGGAATACACATTTTTCCATCGTCACTGGTGGTTATATAACATCCAATATGATCAAGTAATTAAGAAAAAAAAGAAGAAGAAAAGATTAGACAATGAAACAAGTCTGTACAGGAGAAAAGAGACTAACTGGTCTGGGACGTTTTCAGTGATTTACCCACAGTGGCTCGGTCAAATTAAAACACATCGGAAGACACGAACACCAAAAACGACTTCTTCGCAGGGAGTGTAAAAAGGGTTGTTGCACTACCCAAGGATCTTATGTGGGAAAATAGACTCCTGCAAACAACCTTTTTGCACGTTGTCGACAGAGGAAATTGGCAGGGTGAAGGTGCAAGAGGGAAAAGGGTGTCTGCCTGTTGCAGCATTGTTAGTGGCTCTGCTTCTATGTAAAATGAGCGTGTTCAAGTGTATGTACCTCTCATTTTCAAGGACTTTGTGTTGGAGCACTATGTTAAAAAAAAGAAAAAGTGTTTTCTCTTGTTTTTTTTTTTAATTTATTGGCGTGTGACTATGTCATTACAAACTGTATCCACATCCTCACCTGCATTACATCCGCAGCAGTCTGAAGCAGCTTGAAGTCGTTTCCCCTCCTCATCATTTCCTATCTCGGCTGAACAGTGGCTCCAGTTTTGGCTCCAGACGGAGCTGCAGAGCCGCAGGGCGCCCAGCGGTTGCTCAGTAGTCAGTGTAGATCCTGTGGGGCTGGCAGCAGCTACATCTGGCTACTGGGTCTCTGCTGACAGCCGCCTTATTCTGAATACAATCTTTGATTAGGTGATTTTTAATATATTTTGCTCTTCTTTTTTCCCCACTGGCATTTGAAATTCCTTATCAGCAGGAGTAGTGTATTATTTCCTGTTTGAGTTTTCTGTGTAGCTTACACCCTTTTCCTGTGATCTCCTCTACTACGCACCTTTTAAATTTCTAAGAAGTGTCTCGAATAACCACCCACTGGGTGGAAAAAAGCCTCAGGCGGAGTTGATCCGAGGCCATGCGGGGACTGTGGAGTTTGTTTCTCGAATAAAAGAGAAATTCTGAGAACCTGGTTAAGTTCTGAACCTGGCATACAGTGTAGGAATCTGTGTGTGTCAGTCTACAGCTACATTGTCTGCTGGGTTTCAGACCTCCACCCGACACCTGCATTGTTTCATGTATTTTTACTCCTACTGAATGTATACGAATGTGCTTTGTATGTTCCAGGAAGCCAGAAAAACAACAAAACAACAACAAAAAAAAACAAAACAAGAAAATTGCAGATAATTTGTCAACTTTGTGTTTATTGACTCATCATAAAACATTCTTCAAACAATAAAACAATTTTAAATGTCCGTTTCTGTACAACGCTTGCTAAGCAATTTATTTATATATATATATATTTATATTTATATATATATAAAATGTAAAAGGAGTCGTGTTAAAATGACAAAACTCCTTCAAATTTAATGGCAGGTACTCTGGAAAAAATAACAGCATTCCATCAACAAATATTTTCAAGCAATAAATATGTATTTATAAATAGTGTAAATTTACATCAAGATTAGAAACATAAAACAAAAAAACAAACAAAACAAAATCACAAATTAAACTTAATTCCATAAGTCTATGTGCAACCCATTTTCTTTGTGACTTGGCTAGTAAGTTTTTTTCCCTATTTTTTCTTTTTTTTTTCCTTATTTTTTTTTTTTGTTAAACCTAAGAAACAAAAACATCAAAGCTTTGAAAAGAACGAGACGAAGATAAAATACATAAAAGCGGGAGAAGGTGGAGAACCTAAATTCACCTAAATTCTTCACATTACAAATTTTTTTTATTTTATTTTATTTTTTCGGTGGGTGGGGGTCGGGTAGGGAGGATTCTGCTTTTCCAAACTCTTAAAATTACTATCTACCATAGAAAAAGACCAGTTAGGCTAGTGCTCCTTAAAGGGGGAGAAAAAGGAGGAGGGTGGACTGAAGAAATTTTTTTTTGGAGGGGGAAATTCTACCCCCCTCCACAAAAAAAAAAAAAAAAGTTAAAAAAAAAAAAAAATCACCCAGTCATCGGACTAGAAAACAAGGAGAAAGAAAGAGAAAGAGAGAGAGAAAGACAGGTTGTCAAGTCAGTAGTCTTTTACGGGTGGTGTTGCCAGTTGGGAGAGTTAACAAGTATCTACAAAACACCCCTGCCCCTTGTCCCCGCCCCCCACCCCACCTTCCCCTCCCTGTTCCCGATCATCTGATTAAGTCCTCAATTAAAACAGGGCTGAGCCATTGTCTCTAGAGGAGGAGTGGGGAGGGAGGAGAGGTGGGTGGGTGGCCTGGCAAGGCGGAGAACAGGAGGAGGAGGGAGAGAGAGAAAACAAGAGTCCTGTTATGGAGCTCGGTGTGGCGCCCTCTTGTGGAAGGCCCTCCGCCGGGCTCTTTGTACAGGGGTTGCATAGACAGACACGCTCCGCCGCCTCAGCCTCCAGCCGTCGCTATGGAGACCAGCCATACAGAAGGGGCGGCAGAGAGGGTGGGTGGTGGTGGTGGTGATGAGGGGGTCGGGTAGAGTCGGCCTTGGCTTTCCTGAATATCAGAAATGGTCCGTGTATGTTTGTTCTTTCAGTTTTTTTAGATCTCAGTACAAGTTCCTGTAAATGGGCTTCATGGCTCCACAGCAGAAGAAGAGTCGCCTAATGTCAAGACGAAGATGAATGAAGAGGAGGGGCCTGCGCAGAGAGAAGAAGAGATGGTACAGAGCGATTATTCCTCAAGTTCAAATCCTCTGCAGTGAGCTCCCGCCACTGCTGATGTTTCATATGGGCTAATATCGGCCCTGCTGGCCAGCTATCGGCAAATAAGATGGCACTTATCGGTTGTGTGTAAATAGTACTGATATGAGCTTTGGGGCACTGACAAATCTAACGACTTACTAATGTGAACTGGTCGTAGACCTGCATCAGGTCCTCCATCCTGTACTGCTCCAGCACCACGAAGTCGTCCAGTGCGGCGCTGCCTTTTCGGGCACAATCCTGGCAGTGGATCACGCACTGCTTCTTGGACAGGAGCTCGCGGCGCACAAACAGCAGGTTGAACACTTCCACCTGTGGATCACACACATAAAAACACACGTTACAAAACTAAATCCACGGGCTGAGTTTCTCTTGCAACTGTCTGCGATTATCACAGCAATTGACAGAAGACGCTTTTCTAAAAAAGCAGCTGAAAGCCCCCCCCTTCCCCCCCGCACGCTTAAATACGAGCCATTAACGCAAACAAAAACCGAGCCGGGCTTTAATTCAGCTGATCGCAATAAGTGCTCATGCTGTCCAAAAACAACAACAAAAAGGAAACAAGAGGGGAAACGAGCAGGATTTAGCCTATGATTGCTTTCCTTCACACATGTTAGATTAAAGGTTATACACGTCCACAGTGGTGGGAAATTAATAAATAAATAAAATAAATTAGCTGCTCATTTCTACTATTGACATTTACTTTACATCATGTGGTAAATGGACCGGCTCTTATACAGCGCTTTTGATCCTCTTCTATCATCCTTTTGATTAGCAGACGACCCGCTCTGCCTACCTGAGCCACATGCTTATAATTCACACGTAAAACACACAGTTGAGGGACTAAACTTCTCTAATCTAACAATCCAGGGTGCAGAGTAATATTCAGGATGTGAGTGGGAACGATTGCGCCGACGACTATTATCTTTCACTCGAAAAAGCTGCAAAGCCAGAAAAATGTGACATCCTGTTAAAATTCACACCCCTGGTGCTGCAATGTTCCCGGTGTTGTTCACTGACCTCACAGATGGTGCAGTAGTGGGCCGGCTCGTCCCTGGTCCTCGGCCTCAGCACTGTTTCCTTGCCGGCTGCCGCCAAGGCTTCCTTCACCCACTGGCACTGCTTCAACGTCCGCAGCAAGCAGTACCTGTGACGGGAACAGAGGCGTCAGCGATGGGTGGAAAAGAAAGAAAAAAAGAAGCCGCAGAAGCCCCCGCGACTTACTTGATCATCTCGAACAGCTTGTGGTCGGACACTTTAATGTTGCGCGCCATGTTCCAGGAGAGGTGCACCATGGGAACCATGGACTTGACGCTCTGGAGCTTATTCCACTCGTATCGCTCCACAGCCAGCTTGTACTGGTGAGCTGAAAGAGCAGTTTAAAGATTTAGGAGAACATTCTGGACTTTATTGGACATAGACACGCACGGGATGCCGACAGTCAGGAGCCCTTCATCAGTCAGCGTAAGCATAAACAGTCACACAGACAACGTGGATTTAAAACTGCGCTGCAGTTAGCTCGTTAATCAGCTGAAAAGGGCAAAAATCGGCAGGGAAACATTACGGAGAAAGGTCAGAGCATCACAAATGTATTCGTATTCTGAATGCTTCTCAACTTTGGCTCCCAGCTGATGAGCAAATAGAGACTTTTCCAGTAACAGATGTTTAAAATCACTGTTTTCTTGCTTTAACAAGCAGAGAGATGGTCTGAAATACGAGGCCTGCCTCAGTCAAGGGTAACGACGGGTTTAAAAGTGGTTAAAAGCTGTTTTCAAAGCTGCCAGCCTCTATATTTTTAATCTCACAGGAGAAACACGAGTACACAAACTCCAGCTTTGGGAGGTAAAATTGCTCGTTTTCTGTCAGCGGACTCTGGCGGAGTGTAACGGCTGTTTTACATTTTCCTTCTGGCGGCGAAAATAAAATCAACCCGACTGTGGATCAGAACCCTTCAATCACACCTCAGTGCTTCTGAGCTATAACTGTGGGTGAAAATGGAAAATGGAAAAGAGAAAATATGCTTTCTATGACTACACACCGGTAAGAGGTCCCACGTTCCAGGCGATGTTATTGCACCAGCCAATAGCCTGCACCCAGTGCACTGTGCCAGTGTTAAGCCACACCAAGTCGCCCGGGCGCTGAATGAAGCGGTAGACGGGCACGTCGGCCTCGTACAAGTCCTCCAGGTTAGGCCACCACGAGCCCATCAGGAAGTTGATGTTGTTCCTGGAGGAAGGAGGAGTTTGAGAAGAGAGGTTGGGAGGCGCGTGCGTACAAGCTGAGAGAACGAGAGGAGAAAGATAAAGAGC